GCCAGGGTTAAGGAGCATGAATCCAATGGTTTTGGAGTGGCAAACTGAAAGAACAGCAAATGGTCTGGCTGGTGCTGTCTTGTTGCTCCCCAAGGCCTGAGCTCTGCCCAGCTAGTGCAGGACAAAGGGGGCACTTTCAGCCTTCTGTAAATAGCCTATTGTACAGGGGGAGGAGGTGGGGCAAGGAATGGCAGCATCTTGCCAGCTTGGCTTGCTGTGTTAAGGAAAGATGTCAGGATTTCTTAATTTGCTGCTGCCGGGGCAAGGATGCTATTTATGTGGGTTTATTTGAGACCCGCATTCCTAGTGAAATATTCCATCAAATTGCTGTTATTCAGCTTGATGAAAGCTTGAGTAACTTTAGATGGAGAGAAACATCAGATCACTGGTTTTTTGGTTTATAAATGACATGAAGAAAATAAAATGCTAATGTAAGTATAAGTTTGTGGGGTTGCAGGAGCTGTGTGTGTGTGTGTGTGTGTGTGTGTGTGTGTGTTCATAGAGAATGATGCCCTTGTGAGTCACCTCTGGCCCTGAACCACTTGTGTCATGGTGCTAACAGTGCGAGGTGAGCCTTTGTGTTCAGTGGACCTTGAATCCACATGTTCAGAGGCCAGGGTGTTGGATAAGTGCTAGTGTTTATGTAAGACACCCAGAGTTTAGATGGGTTTCAGATGCGGAGCTCTTGTAATAACCATGGAGTGGTTAGCACTGGAAGGACCCTTAAAAACTTGGTCTCATGGCTGAAGGGGACTTGCAAGCTTCATGTGCAGGTAATTATGTGGTGTTCTTAGTGAAAGGGTCATTGGCCTAGCAGAATTAAGAATCATTTATGTTGACTGGATTTCAAGTCAGGCTGGTGTTCCATTCTTGACAAACACCCTGGGAAAGCCCTTTAAGTCTCTGGTCTTGGTTTCTGCATCATCATTTGGCTATTGTTGAGATTCAGATAAGACACAGGATATAAAAGCTTTTCCAAAACACTGAATAAATGCTAGTTGAGTTGTTAGCTGTTCTGTTCAAAGTTTGGGTACACAAGTACCAAGATTTCTGTTTTCTGACAGTCACACAATCCAGTTTCTATTGCCTTGCTCCGCTACATTTATTTCTACCCAGGTCTATTTAAAGGCATACTCTGCGCTGATTCTTTACATGGGGCTTGTGCCAGATTTCCCTGGCCATTTTTACGTTCCCTGTCATTCTGTGGTTTTAGACTCCAACTTTATAGGAAATTCAGAAGACCCAGATGAGCAAACCCATTTTTTGTAAGTACTGGGAGGAAGGGTGCACAGGAGTAGCTGTAGAGGAAGAAGCTAGCTGTCAATAGCCTTATGTGTTCTCCACTGAGAAATATTGGCTTCTTAAGCCTTTAAGCCAGTTGACTCATATTCTTAGCAAACAGCAGCATGATTTATATGCCCAGGCTATAAACCTCCTTAGTTGATGATGTGGAAATCTGCTTTTGAAAGAATAAAAAAATTCCAACTAGAATACCATAAGAATAAGAACAAAATCTGTCTCTGAGTTTTAACCATTTGTTAGCAAGTACATGAGTCTTAATACTTTTTAGAGACCCATTAGAACTGAAAAAGCATGATGTTCACGTACAACATTAAAGGCTATTTATTGTCTAATTTTCTTTAAATGTAGGTCTACCTCCATTTTTCAATGCACAAATACCTTTTTCTTCATAGCAGTTAAATAGAAAGGAAAAGATTTATAATGTTATCAGTTTTGTATTTGAGTTGTTCTTTACATGGATCTAAATGAGGTATTGTCTTCATTCTTTATGTATAAATTATAGTTCTCAGTTTGCTCAATGCAGTTGGTTTGCAGCTTGTTACCTGGCTGCCCGCTAAGAGGCACGAACTAAACTGCTGTAGCTAGTCATTATCACCCATTAAATATGGGAATTTGTCTCAATTTAAAACCTTAGCATTACAGATCTGTATCTAATAAAATGCTCTTGCATGCATGCTACTAAATCTGTAATTTTCTGAAGTTTTTTAAAAAAACTTTCTTTGTTTGACTTATTAAATGTTCTTAGTATAATATAGTCTATAACTTGGCTACTGCTGATGCTTAAACTAGACAAATTAATCACCTGTCTATGACAGTATTTGTTTACAGACAAATTATTTAATATACTCACTCAGGGGGGTAAATCTCTTGGACAACCCCTGTGAATTCACACAATCTAGGCTTTATGGAAATTACTTCGGTTACTTCAGGGAGAGAAGAGAAAAAGGGTATGGGTGTGTGTAACGGGTGGGTAACTCCTAATCAGACTTGGAGTGCTGCATGGTAATGAACACAACTATAAGGTGGAATGATTTGAGGGCAGGTTTGCAAGTTATATTCATAAGGTTGCTCTGCGTTTGTAGAGTTGCAATACTGTTTATGAAATCTGATCACTTGATGCCAGTAGGGTCTGGACTGGATTTGTGTGCTTATCTTCAAAGTCTCAGCGTAAGCATCCTTTCCTCAAAAAGGCCTTCCCGATAACTTGCAGACATTGTTCAATTTTGTGTCTTCCCCACTAGATGGTTAGCCCATGGAAAGCCTGGGCCAGATGATTAGCACTGTCTTCCCAGCTCCTAGCAGAATGCCTGGCATACACTAGGCACTCAAATGTACAAAGTTATGGGAGCAGCTCAATTCCTATGAATTCATCTAGAATAAATCTGCTGTGAGCATTGGGAATCTATTTCTTTCTTGGTATGCCTTACATTGGTTAGATATACCACCCAACATCCGATCCTTCATTTCAATGGTTTTAAAAAAATATGCCATTGTCTCTTCCTATTGGGAAGCTGAGCAGAAAGAAAACAGTGTCTGAAGTCAGAACTGGCACTGGCAGCGACACTCACTGATGCCTGTCCTTGCCCATGGGTGGAGTAGTGGGGTGACTCTGTTCCCAGCTCCTCATTGGCCTGTCCTCCATCCTCTGTTCTCCTGAGAAGTCAAGTATGGATTTTGTCTGCTAGTTACCTTTAGCCCAGTGGGCAGCAGCGTAGGACTCGGCATGTGACTAATTCCCTGAGAGACCTTGGCAGGCCGGGTAAGCACCGGCTGAGCTCTTCTAACCCCACCCCACCCCTCTCGCCACCCTTTTCTGTTTCTGCAGTAGTGTGTCACCTAGCAATCAGCTGTTGGTGGCACAGGTGGTGAGTGTTTTGTGAGTGCTGGTGCTTTCTCTCCAGAATTATGACCTGAAGAAATCTGCTTATCTGTTCTTTCTTTGTTGCACTTTTGTGTGTGTGTTTGTGTGTGTGTGTATACACTTACACAGAACTGTTGTAGGACAAGATTGAGCTGAGTAAATATTTTGTTGGTTCCTGCAGTATTGATGGCCAGTAAAACAGCTTGATAGTCTGCCACTCTGAAAAACTATATAATCGTATAGATTTAAATTTAAACAGAGGATTTCTATATTTGGAAAAAAAAACATTTTCAGTCTTATGACATTGCTATTAAAAAGAATATATAGTAAGTAGCTCACAAATACCCTCTGAACTTAAAGGTAAAATGTCAACACTTGTAGAGTTGCCAGGGAGCTTTTGAGAAAAGTCTTTCAGATCATTTACTGTTTCCTTCCCTTTGCTGCAAAATTTTACAACAGTTGTTCAGCAATAATTTTCTAATTACAGTTATTCTTATTATCTGTACTGTATATTTTTAAAAATACTGATTTATAAATTGTAATATTCATTTTGGGGCTTGATATATATCAGGTTATTCACCTAATTTTCTTCTGTGTATTTTGGCTTCTTAATTTTGTTTGTGAACTGCTTGTATGCAAGCATCATTTTTTATTACCTGTGTGCCTTACTGTTCTGCATTCAGGACTAATCAAAGCACATTGGTAGAGAAAATAATATCTAACATTTATTGAGCACTTTCTGGTGTGTGGCACCATCCAAACCTTTTCATATGAATTATTTAGTAGTCATAAAAGCCCTTTGAGATAACTACTATTTCCATTTCCATTTGTAGATAAGGAAACTGAGGCACAGAGAGGTGAAATCACTTGTCCCAAATCATATAACTAATAAGCTGTGGAGGCAGAATTTGTCTCTGTTATCTAGGATCTTAAATACTATTCTGTACTTTCTCTGAAATACTATGCTGTCATCTTTGTAGGTATCTGGTGGTTGGTTTAAAGTTTATGCACACTGATTTATTTATTTATCTATTTTAGCTATAATGTCTTGGGAAATATAAAAGACAATGATCTTAGAATAGCTGACTACAGGTTTTCCAGCATTTACATCGCCACTTTCGTGGTGGTATGAGGATTATGGGGAAAGTGAGAGACATGTTGAAATTTAGATTGGTCTGATTTACCAGTTTTTCTGAGATCTGTTGGAAGAAATAGAAACTTATTTAGGTGGTTTGGGCTTATTTGTTCCTCTTTAGTCATGTCCCCACTAGCCTTGATAATGAGAGTTGAGTGTACTTGATTAGATGGAAGAGAACAGACATATAATATCAGGGAAGAAAACAGAAACTTATACCACTTATTTCAGAATTTTATAGCAAGAATTCTTCATGAATAAAATCTTTAAATGTAAGGCCAGCCCGTGGCTCACTCTGGAGAGTGTGGTGCCGATAACACCAAGGCCATGGGTTCGGATCCCATATAGGGATGGCTGGTTCACTCACTGGCTGAGCGTGGTGCTGACAACACCAAGCCAAGGGTTAAGATCCCCATACTGGTCATCTTAAAAAAAAAAAAAATCCAAAAAACTTTAAATGTGATTAATAAAAGGAAGATAATTTTTTTTTCTTCACAAGATAATGGAGAAGTAGAACAAAAATGAATTCTCGAAGTGTTTCTATAAAACACTTCAATAGCCAGGCGAAGACCTGGTTCATGCGACTGGGTTTAATGCAATTGGGCAGCCAACTGTCAAGTTAGACAGTTGGCTTTTGGGAATTCTGGAGAGGTGTCCTGCCTCCCTGGAATGAATTTGACATTTTTCTCTTCCAACAGAATTCAGCTTAGGGAACCAACAACACAGGACAATGCAAGCCCACGAGTTGTTCCGGTATTTTCGAATGCCAGATCTGGTTGACTTCCGACAGTTCGTGCGCACTCTTCCCACCAACACGCTTATGGGCTTCGGAGCTTTTGCAGCTCTCACCACTTTCTGGTATGCCACGAGACCCAAAGCCCTGAAGCCACCATGTGACCTCTCCATGCAGTCGGTGGAAGTGGCGGTAAGTGGAGGGCCCAGCCTGCCTCCTGGGTTTTCTCTGCATTTCCCCAGATTAGGTAGTTCCCATTGAATGTGATATTGATCAAGATCACAATCACAATCAGATATCTGTCTGTAAGGACACTTTGTAAACACAGAACTTATTGATGATAGTAAATAGAGGTGGAGGTCAAACTATAGGGTACAGAGACAGATGAGGTGGTGTTGGTTGGGTATCTATCCACAGACACACAGAAGATCAGTCCAGAAATCACACTGAGCTTCTACTTTGTGCTAGGCGCTATGGTAAGCCCAGAAGATTCTGTGAGTGGAAAAGGACAGCACAGAGTCCCTCTTCTTACAGGGGTCACGTTCTTGCAGGAAAGAGAGTTGCCAAAAAATATTATAGAAAGAAGGGTTTCACTTGTGGTATATCTCATACTTAGAATACATCCTCAAGCTGTTGAAAAGGACTCTGGGATTTCAGACAGGATAAGGCTAGAGTAGGAACTGGCCAGAATAAAATGGCTGCAGAATTTAGTGGGGGACATAAAGAAACAAGAGGTTTCTGTTGTTGAGTTGTTGAGTGCCATGGTTGTATATGACTTGGGCAAACTAAAGGTCATGCTCTCATAGTTATGAAAGTAAACCAGTACATATATAATTAGGGCTTAATGGGTGGTATGGCATAGGGAAACCTTAAGACCCTTTCAGGGAGATTCTTTCTTAGTGCTCCTGCTCCATCTTCTCTCACCTCTTAATCTCTGTTCAAGGTTAGTAAAAAATGTGAGAGGTTAAGAAGCAGATGAATGGTACATTTACTCTTCACCTGTGCTTTGTAGTTGCTTGCTTCCCCTACCTAAGCCAGAATTAATTTTCAGTATTTATCACTTTCAACACTGTACAGAAGAGTGCTGTGAAACACAGAATCCCTTCATTGACTGCTTTTAGCTGTAGGGTGAAAGGGAGGAGACTGTGTGCCCTTCCACATAAAGCCCTGGCTTGCTTAATGGCTTTTTGTTATTTATGGGATTTTATTTCTTTGTTTTATTTTAGACAAGTTCTTGGATTCATTAATGTGAAACTCTTAAAATATATAAAAGATATGTCAGTCTAATTCATGCCAAAATATAAATATAGAATGAACTACTGCTGAGAAAAGTTGACTTTATACTTTATTCCTATGTCGAAGGTAAAGGTACCTTAATATTTCACCTCAGCTAACCACATACTGATAATGAGTAGAAAGTATTTAACTTTTTCTAATAGATTTGTGTGAGGTTTCTGGCATTCCTTCTCTTCTGGCAGAATGCCCAGCATATTGCAGTAGCATTGCCATCTCTATGAAGACTAGTTGGCAAGTGCAGGGTTGAGACATTTATAATTTGGAGTAACTATAAAAAGTACCTAATTTTTATTATATGAGAAATCGTGAGGGCACTTACAGTGCAGTTTTTAAGTTGTAGCTTAGCATAAAGTCATTGTGCCTTATTAAAATAATTGTACATGTTCTCTGTAGAACAATTTTAAACTACAGATAAGCAGGAAGGAAATTAATATTTATAATTCTACTGCCTGTTATATGGGCATCTTGATTCCTCTTTTGTATACAGAAGTCGATTTAGCTCTGATTTTCAGAATTTGTAGGTTTTAGGAATAGATACTGAACTTGCTTTGCCTTTTTAAAAACGAATTTAAAAATTTGAATTTAAAAGTAACTCTGGAGTTATGGTGCCTAATAATTATAGATGCTTTGATATAGCTAGATTGTCGTACGGACTTCTGTGGCGGGCAAGAGGAACTTAATGCATTTCGTAAAGTATTGGTGAGGAGCCTGTGTCTCTGGCACTGGTGTAGGGGCTGATGCCCAAAGTGAAAAATTGTTGCTTTGTCGCTACTTTGAAAACAGGTGAGCACCATTCACCAGTTCCCATCCTCACCCCTCCGCTCCATCTCACATACACAATTTTTATCACCCACCTCTTACCATAAAGTTTACATGGATGTTAAAATAAAAGGAATCACACTTTTTGGTGTGGCTGCTTCTCATCATAACACACACTGGCTGTTTCCCAGCTACAGCAGCACAGAGGTTCTTTATGAGTTACACCTTCTAAAATTTCCTTTTAAAGATCAGGGCTTGCAAAGAAGATGTTAGCACTCATGCACTCTACCTGTGCGAGAAATGCAATGAAGACCTAGACTGTAGAATGGGACAGAGGAGTTGGACTTAAGGAACAGAATCCCAAAAGTCTTTCTTAATTTTTTTTTTTTTTTTTGGTGGCTGGCAGGTACAGGGATCTGAACCCTTGACCTTGTCTTACTCGAATTTTTGAGCATGGTTTTATCAGGACCCAATTTAGAGAGCTGTGTCCCTGCATCTGTGGTTGCAGCTCACGAGCCCGCAACAGTGACTAGAAGGCTAGCCTTTCTCTGCTTGCCAGGAAAGAAGTTCCATCCGCAGAAGGTTTTTGCTGCTGCTGCTCTGTAACTTTGAATAGTGGATAGAAGGAAGTTTTGTGGTTTTTGTTTGTTTGTTTTCACATCACTTTCACAAGCGATGTGCAAGATTTCCTTGTTTTAGCTTGTTTCAGCCTGTTCTCTCAGATTGAGAGCCCTAGGCCTGCTAGTGAAGGTGATCTTCACTGGAGTGATGTGAAACCTTTTGGGATTGGTCAGCGCCTAGATGCTGGGGGTTGCAGTTAAGGAAGGTACGAGAGTATGTTGGAGCTGTACGGGGTCGCGGAGGCAGAAAGGCAGGGCAGAGTATGGGCCTGGCTCTTCTGCTTAGACCAGGCAGCCTCGGGGTAGTTCACCTGACTTTTCTGACTTTCAGATTCCTCATCTAGAAAACAGAAGCGACTATACCTTCCCTCCTTCAACATTCCTAAGAGGACTGCATATATCCGCAATGTCTGCCTGGCCCTTAATAAGTATTCCATACATGTTAATTTTCTTCTTCCTCAAAGATCTTTTCTTTTAACACTTATATTTTAAAATAGAAGAGAAAACTGAGTCCAAAAAGGTGAAATTATATTAGACAGTCGGTGGAAGACCTAGAACTCTGTTATGCTGCCTTTGTTATAGTAATCAAAAGTTGTATATTATGACTTGTCTGGAGGGACAGTGATAAATAAAGATAAAAAGGAAAGTTTGGATCTGTCCAGGTAACTTTTAACTTAGTAAATTTGAACCTAGGATCAGGCTCTTCTGAAAATGGATATGCAGGCACATGAGTCCGAAGGCAGTGATGGAAATGGAAGGAGGAAAGGGGACAGGTAAGATGAGAAGTAGAGTGTAGATTCTGTACACAGGTTGGATATAGTATTAGAAACTCTCAAGAAGCTGGCAAGGAGTAAGGACCAGGGGGAGGAGGGCATAGGGCTGTGAAAACCTGAGCAGGTCTGCCTGTCCCTCATCCTCTCTACCCCTGAATCAGGTTGGACACAGATGGGATCAGAGCAGAACTTGGTGCTGATGGGGTTGTAGGCCCACCTGTGAGGGATCAAGAGATTTAGGCCATGAACCATTATGAAGTGCAGATAAGAACCATTGTAATTGCTGAAGGAGGTAGTAGAAAGAGCATGTGAGTTCTTCTCTATGAGAGAGGTGGTGTGGGCATTGAGATAATTTACAGTCAGATTACATTGGAAAGATTTTTGGCAACTACTGCTCGATTATAAAGTATTTAAATGAAAACCCACATTGTTTTTTTATGTTACAGGAGGGAATAAATTGTAGCAAGTAAAAAACTTTTTTTATACCTGCAAGTCTAAGCCTTTCTAAGACTTAATTTTAAGAATATCGGGATATAAATTAAAATTTACTTCTGATGACTAACCCAGTTAGTCTGTAACAGATTCATTGTTTAGACTTGTTACTGGACCTTGGTTTTAGTGTGGGTTCATATCTTTGAATATGCAGAACCCGTTCTTTGGGCATAACTCATCTTGTTTCCAAGTTGGATGACTTAGTTCCACACCAAATGATCTGAGACATTTAGGTACCATGCTGGCTGGTGACCCTTTTGCTTAAGAAGTTGGAACTTGGACATCCACATGTTGAGGTATATATGGTTAGCAACTTACCTTAGCATTTTAATCCTGTGCTCTGGAAAGTTTAATATGGAGGATGTGAAGCTTTGGATTTAATTCTCCACAAGTTCCAAAGAATAGTTATCAGATGTGTATTCATTCAGCATCTACTTGAGCTTACGCCATGTGATGTGCACAATACCAGGGCAGGAGGGGGGACGTACTGCTCGGGGCTCCGTCTGTCCTTGGCAGAGGGTGCAAGCCATCCTTAAACTAAGAGCAATGAAAACAGCTAGTTTTTATGTCGTAAAATTAGAACTGTGGTTCATTCTCAGTTAAGGACTTGAACGAAGCCAACTGAGCATAGCACTTCCAGCCTGTATGGTTTTAAAATTCAAAAGTCACAGTTTGCCAGAGGCTTTCCCAATGTCATGGCTTGTACTGACAAGCCACAGACCCCAGTTCACGGCACACTGCAGCAAGCACTAGTGTTCTTAGTCCACGTTTAGAGAGTGTGAACGGAGCATATTTCCAAGTAGGATCTTCCCATGCGGAAGGTAGAATCATTTCCACATAATCAGTCCTCACACACTGAGTGAATAAAGGCCCAGTTGCAATTTGGTACAAGCAGTTTCTGCAAGAGAAGAGGGCAGGTCATTGATTCCTAAGTTTTTTAAGTCTTCACTCACACCAGCCTTGGGGAGAGAAAACAAGTGCAGTCCAATGGAGGTGTTGATGGGGAACACAGAGGATGGCGATGCCCTTCTGAACTTGAGTAGCAGGGCTGGCTCTGAGCAGGGGAGCTTTTGTTGAGTTGGACAGGATTAAATGCTACTATGAGGCAGACAGTGACGGCCAAGCCTGAGGGGAAGCTGCTAGGGAAGGGCAGGGAGAGAGCTGTCCAGGAAGGGCAGGTGGAGTTGGATGGTGGTATATCACTCCCTCTCAGTGACACCAGCCTGGTGGCTCTGTAGGAGTGTCAGAGCCA